TAGCTCAGTAACATTCACAGATGGCCCCATGAGGTCAGTTGTCCCTACCTTACTGATGGGGAAGCTGAGGCCCAGAGACGCTTAGGTAACTTGTTTGAGTCACACAGCTTCTGAGTGGTGGAGCTGAGGCCAATTATATGAGGAATAGTTCCTCGTGGGGGCCAAGAGGAACTGCTCCTGCCCCTCCTCTCTCTGCCCCCAGATCTGTCCTCTTTACCTCTACATCAGGAAAGGCTGAACTGCTATATTTGCTGGTTAGTTTCTAAGTTGACATTTACAAGTTGTATACAATGGTCTTTCCATGTCTGTGGGGGACCCACCAGGATATTATGTTCTGCAGGTGCTCAACTCCCTTAGTGGGGGCTGGTATTGTGGTGTAGTGGGTTAAGCTCCTGTCTGTAGTGCTGGCATCCCACATGGGCAATGGTTTGAATCCTGGCTGCTCCACTTCTGATCCAGCTCCCTGCTAATGGCCTGCGAAAGCATGAGAGGATAGCCCAAGTGCTTGGGCCCCTGCACCCACGAGAGACCCAGAAGAGGCTTCTGGCCCCTGGCTTTGGCCCAGCTCCTGCTGTTGTGGCCATTTGGGGAGTGACAGTGCATGGAAGTCTCTCTCTGTAACTCTGCCTTTCAAATAAATAAAAATCTTGTAAAAGTTTTTTAAAAATGGCTTAGTGTTTGCATAGAGCCTGTGCCCATCCTTCTGTATACTTGAAATCATCTCTAGATAACTTACAATATGTAATACAAGGTCAGTGCTTTGTAAATCATTGTTATACTGTATTGTTTAAGAAATAGTGCCAAGAGGGGCTGGCGCTGTGGCATAGCGGTTGAAGCCAATGCCTGCAGTGCTGGCATCCCATATGGATGCCAGATGAAGTCCCGGCCGCTCCACTTCCGATCCAGCTCTCTGCTATGGCCTGGGAAAGCAGTAGAAGATGGCCCAAGTCCTTGGGCCCCTGCACCCACATGAGAGACCTGAAAGAAGCTCCTGGCTCCTGGCTTCGGAACGGCCCAGCTCTGGTCATTGCGGCCAATTGGGTAGTAGTGAACCAGTGGATGGAAGACCTCTCTCTCTCTGCCTCTGCCTCTCTGTAAGTCTGCCTTTCAAATAAAATAAATTAAAAAAATAGTGACAAGAAAAATGTGTATACATGTTCAGTATGATTTTTTCCAAATATTTTAACAATATTTACTAATTGAAAGACAGACATGCAGAGAGAAAAGCAGACATAAAGAGTTTTCCCATCTGCTGATTCACTCCTCAAATGCTCACAACAGTCAAGCCTGGACCAGGCCAAAGCCGGGAGCTGGGAATTAATATTAATACAGGTCTCCCATGTGGGTGGTATGGGCACAACCACTTGAGCTATCACCTGCTGTCCCCTGCCCCCACCCACCCAGTGTGCTCAGAGCAGGAAGCTGGAATGAGGAGCTGAGCCAGGACTGAGACTCAGGCACTTGGAGATGGAATGTGGGCACCCAAGTGGTATCTCAACCATTGTGCCAAATGTCTGCCCCCTTCCAAATGCTTTTAGTTTGAGCTTGGTTGAGGCCACGGGTGTAGAAGCTGTGGATATGAGGGCTGACTGTATTTTCTCTTCTTTCCAAATAGCTGACAGGTTTCAGATTCATGTTTGCCTCTAAATAAATCGAAAGCAGCTTTTTTTTGTTGTTGTTATTTTAGTCTTTAGTCTTTAATATAATCATTTTCCCATCCTGAAATATAGTGGTTTATAAATTATTTTCACATTCTTCCTATTGCTGGATTACTCTGCTGGCCTTCATCAGTAATTTGGAGCTGGTTTATTTTGCCTTTTCCATAAATTTATGTATTTATTTGAAAGGCAGAGCATTAGAGAGTGAGTGACAGAGGGCTTGGGATCTTCCATCCACTGTGGAACTTCCACAGTGTGAGCTTCCATTCACTCCCAAGATGGCCACAAGAACCATGGCTGGACCAGGCCAAAGCCAGAAGCCAGGAACTCCACCCTGGTCTCCCATGTGGGTGGCAGGGGCCCAAGCACTTGAGCCATCACCTGCTGCCTTCCCAGGCGCATAAGCAGGAAGCTGGATGACAAAGAGTATCAAGAACTTGAACCTTAACCCTCTGTGCCACCACATCCACCCTTTTTTTGGTTTTTGTATCCCCTAAGCTCTTGCTTTGCTGCCCTGGATATCAGTACCTGCTGAGGTGATGACCTCAAAGGTAATCTCTTCTCCTGCTCCTTCAAACAGACTTTTAAAAAATTCTAGTAGGCTCAATGTTGTTGTTGTTGTTGTTTTAAGATTTATTTATTTGTTTGAAAGGCAGAGAGAGAAGACTTCCATCTGCTGGCCCACTCCCCAGATGGCTGCAACAGCCAGAGCTGGGTCGATCCAAAGCCAGGAACCAGGAGCTTCCTCCGGGTCTCCCACATGGGTACAGGGGCCCAAGGACTTGGGCCATCTTCCACTGCTTCCTGGGCCACAGCAGAGAGCTGGATCAGAAGAGGAGCAGCCAAGACTTGAACTGGCCCATGCAGGGGATGCTGGCACTGCAGGCGGTGGCTTTACCCGCTTCGCCACAGCACTGGCTTGCTTCAAAGGGACTTTAAACCAAGAAAACCTCAATCCAGCTTTCCTGGGTGTTCTCAGCAAAAGCGTTGGTCTGATGGCACTCAGTGCACCACAGCTGGGTGGGCACCAGGACCCAGTATACACCTGGTAGTAACTTACACCCACCTCATGCTCCAAAGCTGCTGGGAGGTCACAGATGGAGAATCATTTGCTGCTCTTATCGTGTGCCTTCTCTTATTTGGGGAAGATATTGCCTATAAGATCCTGATCCCCACCCTCCAATCCCCAAGTAGGCAGTAAGACATGGGGGTAGGGGCTGGCGCTGTGGCGTAGCGGGTTAATGCCTGGAATCCCATATGGGCGCCAGTTCTAGTCCTGGCTGCTCCTCTTCCAATCTAGCTCTCTGCTATGGCCTAGGAAAGCAGTAGAAGATGGCCCAAGTCCTTGGGCCTCTGCACCCTCATGGGAGACCTGGAAGAAGCTCCTGGCTTCGGATCGGCGCAGCTCCGGCTGTTGCGGCCATCTAGGGAGTGATCTGGGGAAGATCTCTCTCTCTGTCTCTACCTCTCTCTGTAACTCTGTCTTTCAAATAAATAAAATAAATCTTAAAAAAAAAAAAAAGACATGAGGGTATCTTCCATTCTCTGGGCACCACCATGTAATTGAGTCCATGGACGAGAGCCAGGTGTGGGGAGGTTGCTACTGCTGTTCTTTTAAGACCACAATAGGGCCAAGAGGGCAACTTCAGTTGCCGCACCATCCTCCCCGACCTTCACGGCCCTCTGTACCTCTGCCTGAGGGGTGCTCCCTGGGACAACCTCAGTAGGTGCCCTCTCCCAACCCTCAGACTCCGTGCTCCCTTTTCAATAGGAAGCATTGAGGAGACTTCCTTTCACCCCCTGAAATGACACGCGTGTAAGTCACAAGCCTTGGCGCAGTGGGGCTGTGCCCTCCCCCCCCCTGCCCCCAGCATCTCACCCTTTGCCCTTTGAATGTTGAAGCCCCCCTCTCTCCCTAGGGGCAGAGAGAGGGGGAGCAGGAAGAGAGGAAACGAGGGAGCGGAGGATGTGGCCGGGACAACCAGACTCTGCCCACCAGGAGCTCCCAAAACACCCCCAGGGCAGGTGGGAAGTGCACCAGTGTCTGTCTGTCTGGTTTGTTGCGGTATCCCCACGACCTAGCGCAAGCCCCCACGTGCAACAGGACAGTGCTCAGCCCAGACAGCGACCCTGTAACCTACTGCCCTCTTCCCTCAAGCCTTCCCTGTCCTCCCATCACGCCCCTGCTTGGGGAGAGAAAGAAAAAGAACTGAGTTCGCAAGGCCAGTCCCCTCCCACGCACTGCTCTCTGACGCTTGGAGCACTGACGCTAGGGGAAAATGCGTGCCATGGGAGCCCTGGGGCCGGGTGGGGTGGGGTGAGCACAGAGACAGGGGCACTGACGCTAGGCTAGGGGCTTGCGTGCCATGGGAGCTAGGCTAGGGGCATGTGTGCCTTGGGAGCCCTCGGGCCGGGTGGGGTGGGGTGAGCACAGAGACACCTGGAGGGCCGGGAATGGCTCAGTGCTTAGAGCCTCAGGCTCTGGCCCGCCCGTCTCAGCAATGTGCCTTCTGGTACCTTCTCAGAGCCTCAGTCCTCTCGTCCACAAGAGAAGATAACAGCAGTTCAGGTTGTTTGTGAAGGCTCAGTGAGGTAACTCATGCAGGGTGATTAGGACAGGTCTGGGCACGTTGTGACCGCGTTACTGTCGTTTTATGAAATAGCTGAGTAACCAATGATCTCCCTTCCGCCAGTATCCGCCCCTCCCCAAGCCCTTCCTCATCTTCCTCCATCAGATGTGCGGGTCCCACCACCACTGGCAATGGTCAAGCACCGAGCACCCAGGACCACGCTCCCACTGCCCTTTCTCTACTTTTCCCTGCGGCAAAGCGCCTCTCACGGAGCCATCCCGTGAGACCCAGCTCCACCAGGTGTGTCAGAAGCTCCAGGAGCCCTCCCCGCCAACCCGGGATCCCACCCACCACATGGGTCCCGCCCTACTGCCCCACCTGCACAGGAAAATACCGGCTCTGCGAGCTCCACCTCGGACCAGCCGGGGAAGCAGGGGTCCCACCGAGCCCCTGCACTGCCTACGCCCTCACTCCCCACCAGCGCTCCTTGCACCCCAATCTTTGCAATCCCAGGAGTATCCACACCTCAGTCTGTGCGCTCACATCAGTGCCCACAGCCGAGTGTGCGGCTCCAGGCGTGCCCACTCCCCTGCCTGTGGAACCCCCAAAACGATAATGGGACAGCCTGGACTTGACCACACGGGCATGGGGGCGGGACACAGAAATGGAACAGTCCACCCGGAAGCGTACCCCTGCAGAGGGAGGGGCACCTTGGAATGTGCCATTGTACTTCCGGGGGGGGAGATACGGAATTCAGGTGACGAAACCTCACCCCGCACCGGAATCCGCCCGCTTGTTCCAAAGACCACATTCCGATCTGGTGAGTGACACAAGACTCTGGCTGTCCTCAATCTCCGGTAGGTCTTCGGTGTCTTTCACTTCCGCCATATTAACCTGTCCCCCCCACCCTGATTCTTTAACTTTGAACCGGCTCTCGAGCAGGCAATTGATTTAGGGCCAGGCCCTTCGTGGGCTCTGATTGGTCGATTACCAATTCTGGTCCTCGCTGTTCTCCGTAGCGTCCAGATCTCAGGAATAACGTAACCCCGCCTCTGCTAGTGCTCACTGGTCTCCAATTGGCCACTGCTTTGGGGGCATGCGCGGTGGTGTCTGACCCGTGGTGGGTTACCGCGAGTGCCGGGCCGTGCGGGTTTAGGGTAGTGGGTTCAGGTATAGAGTAGAATTATTCGCTTGTGAAGAGACAGACTAGGATACTTACAGTTGGAAGTTAATGAGCTTATTCATCAGGGTCGCGCCTCCATTGTAACTTCTGTAAAAATCCCAATGGGGCTTTCTTTCCCGAACCCGCTCATTTTAAAATTCATTTATTCTCTGGTTTCTCAAAACAAAACAAAACAAATTGCCTTGAGTTTGGATGTGCGGGAATTGCACAGGGACGGTGGGTGGTCTGGTTGTCCCAACACAGAAAACCTCAGAGTGGACACTGAGTGGTCTTCATATACAATGTAGTAGAGTTATATAAATTGAACTCCTTCTGACAAAAAGGCTGCAAAGTGTTCAGCAGTTACAAAGCGCCACAAGCAGGGTCTTTGAGAAAGCACGTTTGGAAGAAGGAACGCCTTCCTGTTCTCTATGCACGCAGTGATGGCTTTGGATCATTAGCACTGACCACATGGGAAAGGATCACTGTCGCTTCATACACATCGTGGGTGATGTAATAAATTAACCGGTTTTGAAATTTTAAATTTTACATTCGTTGTATTTTTTTTAAAGATTTTATTTTTATTTACTTGAGAGGTGGAGTTACAGAGAGAGGTGGAGACAGAGACAGAGGTCTTCTATCCACTGGCTCACTCCCCAAATGGCCACAAGGCCTGGAGCTGGGCCGATCTGAAGCCAGGAGCCAGGTGCTTCTTCCTGGTCTCCCACGCGGGTGCAGGGGCCTAAGCACTTGGGCCATCTTCTACTGCTTTCCTGGGCCACAGCAGAGAGCTGGACATGAAGAGGAGCAACCGGGACTAGAACTGACGCCCATATGGGATGCCGGCGACACAGGCAGAGGATTAACCTAGTGAGCCATGGCGCCGGCCCCTGTATATATATGTTAAAATATGGGTATATATTATATCCATATATATATAATATATATATATTATGTGCAGTTTCAAAAGTATCTAAATATGTGTTCCTAAGTGATACATATTTATTAATATGCTAGCCCAAACTAAGAAAGTACTGAGCAGCCGGGGTGCTGTTGAAGCTAATACCTAGAAGTGTTGACGTGGCTCTAGAACTGGGTAAAGGATAGAGGCTGGAGAGTTTGGAGGAACAAGCTAGACGTAAGGAAAGGGAAAGCAGAAGAAGTCTTTGTAGAGAATAAGTAATCATGGACAGATTCTTTGTAGGCGTGTGGATGTTTATGGCCCTTTAACGAGATCTCCAGCAGAGACCAGGTTGAGTAGTAGGCAGTGAAGAAAAGATGCCCCCTGTAATAAAGTGGCAAGGAACTTGGCTGAATTGTTTGTGTCTTAGTGTTCTGTGGAAGGTAGAACTTGTGAACCATGAAATGTATATTAGGCTGAGGAGATTTCTTTAAAAAAAAAAAAAAAAGGTATATTTAGAGTCCAGTGCTGTGGCATAGCAGGTAAAGCCACCGCCTGCAGTGCCAGCATTTCATATGGGTGCCAGTTAGAGTCCCAGCTGCTCCACTTCCCATCCAGCTCTCTGCTGTGGCCTGGGAAAGCAGTAGAAGATGGCCCAAGTCCTTGGGTCCCTGCACCCATGTGAGAGACCCGGAAGAAGCTCCTGGTTCTTGACTTCTGATCGGTTAAGCTTCAGCCGTTGTGGCTATTTTGGGAGTGAACCAGCGGATGGAAGACCTCTCTCTCCCTCTCTCTGTCTATATCTCTGCCTTTCAAATTAATAAGTAAATCTTTAAAAAAAAAAGAGTCTAATCTTAGGGGCTGGTACTGTGGTGTATTAGGTTAAACCTCCACCTCCAGCATAGCATCCCATATAAAAAAAAAAGATTGGCCGGCGCCGCGGCTCACTAGGCTAATCCTCCGCCTTGCGGCGCCGGCACACCGGGTTCTAGTCCCTGTTGGGGCGCCGGATTCTGTCCCGGTTGCCCCTCTTCCAGGCCAGCTCTCTGCTGTGGCCAGGGAGTGCAGTGGAGGATGGCCCAGGTGCTTGGGCCCTGCACCCCATGGGAGACCAGGAAAAGCACCTGGCTCCTGGCTCCTGCCATCGGATCAGCGCGGTGCGCCGGCCGCAGCGCGCCGGCCGCGGCGGCCATTGGAGGGTGAACCAACGGCAAAAAGGAAGACCTTTCTCTCTGTCTCTCTCTCTCACTGTCCACTCTGCCTGTCAAAAATAAAAAAAAATAAAAAATAAAAGATATATTATTATATTTGAATAGCAGAAGGAGAGAGAGAACTACCTTCCATCCCCTGGTTCACTTCTCAAATGACCACAACAGCTTGGGCAATGGTTGGGGCTGGGCCAGGCTGAAGCCAGAAGCCTGAAACTCCATCTGGGTTTCCCCCCACCCCCCGGGTAGGAGGGGCCAAAGTACTTGTCTCTACTGCTTTCCCAGGCTCATTAGCTGGGAGCCGCATTGAAAGCGAAGCAGCCAGGTGTTCAACCGGGGCTCCTGTATGGGATGTGGGTCTCCCAGGCACCACAATGCTGGCCCACCAAATTGTTTGCTTTAAGTGAAAAGTTGACAGTTTTAATTTAATACAGAACAAGAGAAAGGTTATATGCTGAAATCCCTGAATCTACCATAAGAATGAATCTTCTGCTGTGAATAACCTAGCAGTTGAGATCTGGTTGGGAAGCTCATATCCCGTATCAGAGTGCCGCGGTTCGAGTCCCAGCTCTGCTCTTCACTCTAACTTCCTGCTAAGGCAGACCCTGGGAGAAAGCAAGTGATAACTTAAGGTCCCTCTCACATGGGGGACATGGATGGGTTCCTGCTTCCAGTCCTGGCCAATGAGGGCATTTGGGGAGTGAAATGGTAGGTGCTCTCTCTCTCCCTCCCTCCTTCTCTCTTCCCCTCCCTTCCTCGTTTTCTCTCCCTCTCCCTCCATTCTTCCCTCTCTCTCAGAGTCTTCTATCTGTGAAATTATGAAGGAAAGAGAAATTCAAACTAGTTTTGCTGTCATTCTTAACAGCTAAAAGTTCAGGCCACAGGGCGTAAGTGCTTAGTTAAGCTAGAAAAGTTAATACATTTGTGGGTGGAAGACATGAGCAGAAAATATGTTCAGATTGACGGCAGTGGGTTGTGCCAGAACACATTGATCCCATACGAAAAAAACTTTGGCAAGGAATGCCCCCAGACTCAGGAGGCAGAGCGAGGAAAGGAGGGGAAAGCATGGCCCGGAGCTTTTCTTGTGGCTTTTTTGGGAGGGAATGGGTGAGACAGCTACACAGTATGCTGAGGAGAATTATTAGCATTGGATAGTTTGAATAATTTTGGTGGGCTATGAGGTAGCCCTAATTGACTGGTACCTGAGGTGGTTTAGGGCTGGGAGGATATTGGCTTGGTGTATAAGAGGAAAAAATAGAGATGGTTGAATGGTTGGCTTGCATATCAAAGGCATGCTCAAGGTCAAATTATTTCCTGTATTCAGGAATTAGTTATTTCTGGAAGGAGTGGTCTCTCCCGGACCACTCAAGCGGTCTCATCCCAAGATATGAAAGCATTGTAAAATACAGAGAAAATTTAAAAACATGAGGCAAAGCAGAGCATCTGGGACATTGAAGCAGTGTCCATAACCTGCTGTGCTACAATACTGGCCCCCAGTGTGTTGGGTTTTCATCATTCTGCTAGATGTGTAGTGGTATTTGATTGCTGTTTCAATTGCAATTCTCTGATGGCATACGATGTTGAGCATTTTTCCATGTGCTTATTTGCCATCTGTATATCTTCTTTGATGGCATGCCTATTCAGATCTTTTGCTCATTTTTAACTCGAGTTGTTCATGTTCTTCTTGTTGATTTTTTAAGAGTTCTTTGCTGGACTGGCGCTATGGCAAAGCGGGTAAAGCCACTGCCTGCAGTGCCGGCATCCCATATGGGCGTTGGTTTGTGTCCTGGTTGCTCAACTTCTGATCCAGCTCTCTGCTATGGCCTGGGAAAGAAGTAGAACACGGCCCAACTCCTTGGGCCCCTGCACCCACAAGGGAGACCCAGAAGAAGCTCCTGGCTCCTGGCTTCAGATTGGTGCAGCTCCAGCCATTCCAGCCAACTGGAGAGTGAACCAGTGGATGGAAGAACTCTTCTCTCTCTCTGCCTCTTCTCTCTCTCTCTCTCTCTCTCTCTCTGTGCAACTCTGACTTTCAAATAAAATAAATCTTTTAAAAAAAGAGTTCTTTACAATTTTGGGTAAGTCTTTATGAGATATGCGTTTTGCAAATTCAAGTATTTTCTCCCAAGCTGTTGCTTGTCTTCTGTTTCTCTTGATCCTCTTTATTTTTTAAGGGAAAACCAGCCACTTCTGAACCATTCTTTGCAGTCCAAACGAAAAGAAAATGTCTACAGGGCAGTGTGTGGTGGTGAAGAAGGGGCTCTGGAATCAGCTTGGATTTGAATTCTAGTTCTGCTACTTCCTCACTGTGGGAGTTAATGTCTCTGTACATACTTTCCTCTTCTTTTTTTAAAAAATTTTATTTATTTATTTGAGAGGTAGAGTTACAGACAGAGAAAGGGAGAGGCAGAGAGAAAGAGGTCTTCTAACCTCTGGTTCACTCCCCATATGGCCACAAGAGCTGGGGCTAGGGCTGGGCCACACCGAAGCCAGGAGCCTGGAACTCCATCCGGGTCTCTCATGTGGGTGGCAAGGGCGCAGATATTCAAGACCGTCTTCCGCTGCCTTCTCAGGCACATTAACAAGGAGCTGGATCCGAAGTGGAGCAGCTGAGACTCAAACTGGTGCTCACGTAATGGGATGCCGGCGTCACAGACAGTGGCTTAACCCACTGCCCCACAACGTCGGATCCTAAAAACAA